CCCCAAATCTCCAGGAGTTTCCCAACCTGGATCTCGCAACCCCACCCCACCCCCCACCAGTGGCCAGGGGGTCCTGGCAATCCTAGGTGGGAGGGGTCTTAGAGGCCCTTTTTCATGCAGGAAACCCAAGTCAGCATATCTGACAGCTGTGCTCAGCCTCTATCTGAAGACCTCCAGAAAGGGACAGCCCCCCACCCCAGTTATTGGTTCCCCATCAACCCCCCCCCACCTGTAAGGAAGTTCCTCCCCACATGAAACTGAAATCTCCCCTCCTGTAACACAAGCCCACTCGATCTAGCCTTGCAACGTGGAGCAGTACAGCCTTGTTGGTCTCGGCCCCCTTCCACGGGGCAGCCCCTTCAGGTATTTTAAGTATGCAGTCATGGCTCCCTGCCATCATCTCAGCTCCAGATAGGGTTGCCAACCTCCAGGCGCTGGCTGGAGATTCCCCAGAATCACAACTGCTCTCCAGACTACACTCCAGTTGGATGTAGTGGTTAAGTGTGCAGACTCTAATCTGGGAGAACCAGGTTTGATTCCCCACTCCTACACTTGCACCTGCTGGATGACCTGGGGCAAGTCATAGTTCTGACAAAAGCTATCCTTGAAAGGGCAGTTTCTGTCAGAGCTCTCTCAGCCCCACCTACCTCACAGGGTGCCTGTTGTGGGGAGGGGAAGGGAAAGGAGTTTGTAAGCCGCTCTGAGACTCCCTTGGGTAGTGAAGGGCGGGGTATAAATCCAGTCTCTTCTTCTTCTATCAAGAGCAGTTCTTGAGAGAGCTCTCTATGCCCCACCTACCTCACAGGGTGTCTATTGTGGGGAGGGGAAGGAGATTGTAAGCTGCTCTGAGACTCCAAGTGAAGGGCGGGGTATAAATCCATCCTCCTCCTCAGCCCCACCTACCTCACAGGGTGTCTCTTGTGGGGAGGGGAAAGGAAAGAAGATTGTAAGCCGCTCTGAGACTCCTTTGGGTAGTGGGGGGGCGGGGTATAAATTCCCTACTGCATCTCATTGCCTGGCATGCCAAGGGGCTAATGGAGCTGTCCCCCTGCCACCCCTCCTGCATTTTCCCCTTCGACCCACATGAGGTGAAGTGACAGGCCATTGGGGAGAGTGGCGATGCTGTGGCTAGAAGGGGCATCACTACTGCCCGGGCATGAGCCCCTTTGGCTGACTGGAGTCTAAGCCAGCTATGCTCACAGTGCCATGGAACAGGTCACGGGACTCAGCTGCTGTCGTAACCCCACACACACACACCTCGCCAGCTGTGGACTGTGGCTTGGAAACCTCAGAGAAGGAGCCAGAAACATGAGCTGGGAGAGAGCAGGGAACTCTGGGAGACCCCTGTAGGGTAGATGCTCCTGCACATCGGTTCAAGGGTCTTGCCCCTGAGGAGCCTGCAGTTGGAGCCTCTCCAGAACTTGCCCCGAGGAGCCTGCAGCTGGAAGTTCTCCAGAACTTGCCCCTGAGGAGCCTGCAGTTGGAGCCTCTCCAGAACTTGCCCCGAGGAGCCTGCAGCTGGAGGTTCTCTACCAGAATCTCCCTCTGTCCCCCCTCCCCCTCCCGGTCTAAGGGCAACTAAGCCCTGGCCCAAGACTTGGCCCATGAGCCCACCAGGATCCGCCTCCACCCTGCAGGAGCAGCAGAGGCAGCTGAGAACAGTCGAGATGCGGTGTCCAGCTAGCAGCCCGTTCTCCGTCTCTTGAGCCCACGTTCCACTTCCACGGTTCTCCCCTTCCGTAGATGTAATTCTTTGCAGGCTTCTGGCCCCAGTTGAGGCTGGACAAGATGAGTCCCAGGGCAAGGGGAACGGCTTCCCTCTCAGCCTATTTAAGCCGTAAAGTTGGGAGGGGAAGCTTGCCTGAGCAGCCAGACCACCAGGCATAAGCCTAGCCAGCCCCGGGGCTATAGGGTAGTGGTGCCAACCTCCAGGTGGGGCCTGTAGATTCCTGGAATCAGAACTGATCTCCAGGCAACAAGTCAGTTCCCCTGGAGGAAAGGGCTGCTTTGGAGGGTGGGATCTATGGCATTCTATCTGACTGGGAACCTGCCCCTCCCCAGGCTCCAAGGGTCTTGTATCGCTCAATGAGACCTGAGTGCACAACAGCTACTGTTCAGGCAGCAACGGAAACCAAGTAATAACCGCCCGCCCCACGCCTCGCTGGTGATAAGTAACCTATTTTATTCACACCCTACCGAAACCGCAAAAAGCAATTACAGTTTTGTTTGCATCCAAGACCAAAAAAACCCACCCCTCCACCATCCAGACGCATTGACTGTCTAGGCACAGTTTATACGACAGACTCCGCGGAATACGCTGTGCATTCCCAATAAGAACGGCCTCGGGGTTTCTTAGATACATCCATTTAGATTTTGCACTATAATGCTCCCTTCCCTTATTACGGCAGTTTGTAATTCAGCCATGAAAAGAAATCATTTACTTCTCCAAGTGCCCCAGAATACAGAAGAACAGCATGCTCTAACCTAGAAACGGCGGCGGAATTTCATGTTCCGCCCATAACGATGAACAATTTTCACACGGCGGACAGAAAATTGCCTCTCAAACCGTTTAGAAATCCAAACAGCTCTCTCTTTTTTTTTGTCCTCCTCTACAGTGCACAAACTTTAGAGACCAAACTACCTCCAGTTATTTTAGTAATTTTTATATCTACAAGGTAGCAAACAGAAAGAGGCCACTGTGAGCCGTGTTCTGTTAACTTTCCTGCTAAGAGCCCTTTTAAAAAACTCCTGGAGATCTAACACATAAAGAGTTTTCAGCATATGCCAAGTGTCATGACCCCTGTGGGTTCCCACCTTCCTCTGCCACCACTCTGGACTTAGGGTCCCTTGGGAAGGCCCACAGTACCCTCCCAAGCCCAACCAAAATGCCCCTTTTAAGCTGAGAAATATAGGCGTGATGACCAGGCAGGGAACATTAAACAAATGGTTTATTAATACAGTAATGGGGCGAGGAAAACAAGACAAGGTGCTTTAAAATATATAACAGCGTCTAAGGCAAAATAAATGAATCTAATGCAGCTACCTATTTCTCTTAACTGGTTACTATTCAAGGCCCACAGCCTTTTATACCAGGCCTGTGCCTGTACTCACTCTGTCCCAAGTGAGGGATCTTTCTCTCAGACCAGACTGTCCCCTCAGTTTAACTCTGTGAGAGGGAAGAACGCAGTAGAGAAAAGAACACAGTTCCACAGTCCACAAAGCTTAAGTCATAATATCCTCACACAATCCTTGGACCCCGATTGGTTACAACCAATGTTCCCTCTAAGCTGTGGAGTCTTGTGAGCAAAAATTCTACTTGGTGAGCTACTGGCATAAAAGGTGTGAGCAACTGATTTGACTACTACATAAATTCGTTTGCTCTGGAGTCATCCTTCCTGAATGAAGACAAAAATGTGTGAGCCAGAGGCTGAAAAACTGTGAGCTAGCTCACACTAACTCAGCTTAGAGGGAACTTACAACCGTTGCTAAACATTGTGGGGATTGTAGGCTGTGTAGGCTTTCCACTCCCACACAGGTCTCCTGGGCCTAGGCCGCACTAGGCCTTGCCTCCCAGTCCTACACAGATCATGACACCAAGTGAAATAGCAAACATAGAAACACAGAAGAACCATAGGAAGGGATGCCGAGGGTCATCTAGTCCAACCCCCTGCACAATGTAGGAAATTCACAACTACCCCCCACCCCACCAGTGACACCTCCTCTATGCCCAGAGGAAAGCAAAAAACCTCTAGGACCCCTGGGCCCATCTGGCCTGGAGGAGAATTCCTTCCTGACCCCAAAGTGGCGATCGGCATTACCCTGGGCATATAAGAAAGGGCCACGAGAGGCAAGCACTGGCTCATCCCTTCCCGCCCTCCCTCTCATGATCTACCTATATTCAAGAATCTGCATTGCTGTCAGATGGCCATCTAGCCTGAATTACGACATGACTGAATTATGGTACTTGGAAAGGTATTTCCAACAACTTAGGAACACAGGAGAGCCAGCATGATGTAGCAGTTAAGAGTCCTGGATCAGGATCCAGGAGACCCACGTTCAAATCTCCACTCTGCCGCAGCAGCTCACTGCATGACCTTGGGCCAGGGAGGGAGGGAGGGAGGAGGAAGGAAGGAGAGAGGTGGAACAAAAGTAAATAGATGAGGAGGGAGGGAGGGAGGGAG